TTACCCATATTACCTTTCCAGAAATACTGTGATTCCTAGGCTGAAGGAACCACACTCTTATTTTGGGGTCCAAGTATTCTCTGTGTCTGCCACTCCCGTTTAGCTGAAATTTAGAGAGTTTCTCCTGTAGTTCTCTCCAGGACAATGGATTTTAAAGGCAGTCATGGCTGCTCATTTACTATTAAGGAGAGTGATGTGCAGGGAACAGATCTGGATTGTCTCGAAAGTGCAGGTTATGTAAGGTTATGTAAGTGGATGTTTTGTTTGTTTTGTCTATGAGAGATGGAGAAAAACACTTGATTGTTTTAGTTTTGTTTCACGTTTCCTTACTTGTGGCACTGTGTGTTTAGCCAGACATGACTGGGTGGAAGAGGGGAACGCTATTTATGCCTTATCTCAGGTGGCAAAATACTTTGAGTCTGCCCTGATGGTAGTTCAAGAACCACACCATAGCAGACAACAGTGTGTGGCTTTATGAGCCGAGTCAGATAAATTGGGTAAAGACCAGACTGAGTCTTAGTGAAGGCTGCTTCAAAATCCATAGTTGAGAGAGTCAAACTAAACACATTCCAGGTATTTCTTTTCCTTCCTATTATAAACCAAGGGGATATAGATAGCATAAGGGAGATCAGTTTAACCCTTCCCTGGCTCCACAAGTCTCCACATAGCTCACTCTGCTCCTTCATTACATTGGTTCAGAAACAGCCTCGGGTAAATGTATATGAACTGGTGTATCATAGAAAAGTTCAATAATTCTTTTCTATATGTACTGTAAATAGGAATTTAACATACAGTTTGAGATAGTGGTTTAAACTATTTCAGCCTAACTCATCCGTGAGGCTCACTGCTTGACTCTTTATACTTTAGCATCAACTGTCTTGCAGGGCATTGTGAGGGTGAAATGGGGCAGGGGGAGGTACACGGTATGTGACTTTTTAGAGGAAAAAGCATGATACAAATAGAATCAGTTTAATCTACCTTTGCAACTGGATTAATCTACTTTGTTAAGAATTGCAGACTTAATCCCACTGATTGTAGGAAGGGCCCATTTAGTGTCATGTTCAGTTTCCACCACTGGAAACACACCATTAAGTATGTCAGAAGAAAGTTAAGGTAACGTTTAAGGGTTGGTCATGACCTATAAAGCCCTAATCAGTTTAGGACCTCAATATTTAGCAGAACATTATTTCCCTCCAAAAAGCTATCCATCCCACACACTCCTCTCAGTCCTTGATGTTAAGAACTCTAACACCCAAGGAGGCCCCTTTCCTCAGGAACAAGCTTCCTACAGAGATTCGCCAGGCACCATCCCTCTCTGTTTTTAGGAAGCTGAAACCAAATTATACACAGCTGCCTTGTACTAGTGTAAATTTGTTCTGTGATGTTCAAATGCATTTTGATTTTTGTATTTTTATTTAACAGTAGTCTCAACGAGTGACATGGTTTAATTGTATTTTATTGTACTGATTATATAGTGTTATATTTTTATTGCATATCGTGAACTACCCAGAGAGTGGCAACACTAACTGAGCAATAAAGAAAAGGAGTACATTTTGTTCCTGAGTGTAATACAGAGTACACATGTAACAACTGCAAATTAGTGGCACTGTCAGAAGAAAAAATTAGAGAACTGGAGCATCTCCCCTTATAACTCAAGGCTATAAGGGGAGATGAAGCTTACATTGACAGAACTCTTCATCAGCAGCAGGTGTTGCAGGGGGCACTGGAAATGGAAGAAAACAGAAGCAAAGCAGTGGAGGAGAGTGCTACAGAGAGTACAAACATAGTGGAGAAACCACCATGGAAAAGAGTCAAAAGCAAAGCAGTGGAGGAGAGTGCTAAAGAGAGTACAAACATACTGTAGTGGAGAAACCACCATGGAAAAGAGTCATAGTTAGAAGCAAAAGAAGGAGAAGAAACTCTTCACCAGTGGAACTGCAAAACCGTTTTCAGATTCTTGAAGAGGAGTCTGCTGGACAGCATGCAGAGGACATAAGAAGGAGGACATAAGAAGGGCTGAAGCACAGCAAAATACAATCACTGAACTTGCACCCTACAAAGAGAAGAGTAGCTGAGACTCCCTACTGCGTGGGATTGAGACTGAAATATGCTGGAAAGATCCAATGACTTGCCAGTTATGCTCTCTCTCTGGAGGTCAGATAAAGGATGTGATGGAAGGCCTGCCATAACTCAAACTGCCAAAACCCAACATACATGTCCCTTTCTTCTTGTTCATGTGGGAACAAATGACACAGCCAAGAGGAGCTTTGAAGAAATCATGTCAGAGAGCACAGGTTGCTGTCCTCTGAAGATGCTGGCCACAGAGACTGGCGAAACGTTAGGAAGAACAACCTCCAGAACACGTCCAAAGAGCCCGAAAAACCTACAACAACCATCAAATCATGTCAGACTTTGAAACGCTGGGAAGGAAACTCAAGGACTTTGGGGAATCAATCATGCCAGACTTTGAAGCGCTGGGAAGGAAACTCAAGGACTTTGGGGCCCAGATAGTTTATTTTAATCCATCCTACCAGTACTAGGAAGAGGAATAGAAAGGGAAAGGAAAATACTCCAGGTGAATGATTGGCTATGACGGTGATGATGAATTGAGGGATTTGGTTTCTGTGATCATGGGCTAAGCTCCCTGGAAGAAGGACTGTTAGCTAGAGATGGCTTGCAACTAACAAGGACTAGGAAGAATATGTTTCACCACAGCATGAAGAATTTCATCAGGAGGGCTTTAAACTGAATTGGGAGGGAGAGGGAGGCACAAGCACAGGGTTAAAGATAGAGGAAGCCTTACTCCCAATAAGAGGAACAGACCAAACTGTTCTAATGGAGGTCAATAATAAAATTAATATTGCTAGAGATGGCTTGCAACTAACAAGGACTAGGAAGAATATGTTTCACCACAGCATGAAGAATTTCATCAGGAGGGCTTTAAACTGAATTGGGAGGGAGAGGGAGGCACAAGCACAGGGTTAAAGATAGAGGAAGCCTTACTCCCAATAAGAGGAACAGACCAAACTGTTCTAATGGAGGTCAATAATAAAATTAATATTAATAGCAATATTCATAAAAATGTACAAAAGCAGACCATAAATCAAACAATCTCTGGTGTCTATATATGAAGGCCAGAAGTATGGGAAACAACAAGAAGAACTGAAAATTTTAGTTCAGGGGGAGAAATATAACTTGATAGGAATAATGGAAACTTAATGGGATGACTCCCGTGACTGGAATACAGCAACTTATGGATATAAATTGTTCAAAAAGAACAGAGAGAATAGAAAGGAGAATAGAAACCCACCTGCATGCATGCACTCCCACCCACCCACGCACATGAATGCACGCATTCCCCCCCACATATGCATTCCAGCCCACATGCATGCATACACACCTAAACCCCTGCCTGCACACACTCTGGTTTCTCTTCAGATCATATAAATCTTTTGCCTTTTACTAATGCACTCTTGCACGGATGCAGACACAGGCTAAAAAGGTGGGGGGGCGGATGTGGACCGCGGGCCGTACTTTGGCGACCCTGGCCTTAGAGGGATCCTTGACTCCAACTGCTGTGTTTTAATTATCTTCTAACTTATTTGTGTTTTATTATTATAATTTGTTTTGATTTTATTTTTACCTGATTTTTAATTTTGTGATATAAGTAACCTTGAATCCCAGCTTTCAGAGAAAACCTAGAAATCAGCCTAACAAACAAATAACCAGACACTTCTCAACAGGATTCACATCTACCTGTTTTTTCAGTATTATGATAGTGCTATTCTTTACCTTCAGAATAAAATGTGTCCACGGAATAAAATGTGATCCTTCTGAAACTTTGAAGAAAATAACTTGTTCTTGCAAAAATGAATAAATAAGATGATGGGATGTGTGTGCTAGAGGATTTTAAACAATTTACCAAAATCATCATCTCTGCATATCAACAGAGAAAGGGAGGTGGGAACCTAACCTCTGAATGTGTCTTTTAGAGTGTTTCTTGCTTTGTATAGTATGACAGTGCCCTCTAGTGAAAGTTAATTTAATCCCATAGCATGTTTTTAGAAAGGCTGACTCCAAAAATAAGTCTTTTCTCAGTATTATGTTTCCACAATGTCAGATATGTTATAGTAAGGAAAACACATAGTTGTATATTAATCATGCTGACACAAAGCACAACATTTAATAGAATAATTTGTTTCCCACATGGACTGCAGCATTGATGATACAATATTATATACTCTCATGGATTACACTGGCTTTTAAAAATTTCATTCATCAACCTCTTCACCAAATGGTAATTTCATTTGCCAAATGACAATTTTTTTCACCTCATTTTATTTACTCTTGCCAGTTAAAACCCTAGGTATATAATGAATCTGTTGCTAAGGGAATACCAGTGTTGTTGCTGAATCAAGTGTTCTGTTGTCAGAATAGAAATATTACCAGAAAAAATTAAAAAGAAAAATAATAACTAATATAATATGATTTCTGCCTGGAATTAAGTCCCAATAACCTCAATAGGTAATGAATATTTCAGAATATTAATGTGTTTGCACTGTTCATCTTTCAGCCGCTTAATTTTTGATTGATTAAAAATGTTCCCCACTTTGGGAAACAGAACTGAAGGAGAATTCACAATCATTTTACATACAGGTGCTGAAACAAACCAGCACCTGTCTGGAAGCTAACTGAGTTGGAGCACCAGGGTTAGGGGTTCAATTCCCCACTCTGCCTCCTGGAAGACGAACCAGGATGTATGGCCTTGGCCAAGACAGAGTCCTGGAGTGCCCCCAGAAGAAGGGAATGGCAGACCTCTGAAACCTGAGATCTTCCAGATCTGGGAAAAAAAAAGGTCATTATTGGCCAGCTGTCAGTATTCCCTTTTCTGGCATAGATACAGTATTCAAGTTTTCTGGCCAATATTTGATTTTTCTTTCTTTATATTAGATGTCACAGAGTACGGGACCTGATGTGCTTTTTTCCTTATGTATTTCTAGCTCAAAATGGTTGCGGGCCACCACCTAGAAGAGACCGTGAAGAACTTGCTGACTTATCACCTAAAGAATCATATTCACATGATGACATTGTGTTGTATAATTGCCGGCCTGGGTACATAAAACTTGGACGCTTCCGAATGCAATGCAAAAATGGAAACTGGGAACAAGCGCCACCATACATTGAATGTAAAAGTAAGTATCATCCTGCAGAAGGTCATAGTAATTAACTCTCAAGTGCACAATGCACAAAAGCAGATTCCAGAAAGTGACTCATTTATTTATTTCTATATTCAAAGGATAAGCATCACAAAATTTTGTTTATCTGTATATCTCTACATATACCACAAGACCATATCATTTGTGATTGGTACTTGTTGTTTGTCTCGTTTTCTATCTCACTCTGTACTATTAGCTTTCTTTTGCTTCTTGGCATTTGCTTTCTGACATTTGACATAAAACTGGGTTCCTCCAGATGCTTTGGACTACAAATTGTGTGGGCTGGCAGAACTGATGGGAATGATGACCCCAAACATCCAGAGACTGGGGAAATCTGAATTACAAAGAGGGATGAATGCTGCCTTCTTTCTGGAAACAGGCCCCAACTAAGGGGGCAACTACATTGATTCTTCGTCCTGCAATTATTTAGGGTTGAGCACTGGTAAATTTGAATTAAGCTCAGTGAATACATGATGTAAAGTATTGATATGAAAAAGTTTATTGTTTAATGGGAGAACAATGAGAGAGTGAGATGAAAATGGTCAATTGGCACTTTTTAGCACTTTGTTAAGGCAGCTTCTATTGCTGGAATTCAGTGCAAACCAAGCTCTTTAATTCTGCTGACTCCTGAAAATCTGGATGGCTACAGTGTTTTCACCTGGGGAAACCTGATTTCTGCAGATGTGAATCACAGTGCATCAACTTGCACTTTCCCTGCTGTGCAGTTGCACACTCTGCTCAAAGTTTGCTGAGTAGAAACTGCCTGTTTTAGCACTGCTTGTTACCAGACTGCAACATCGGAGGGCTGGGTTTGGATTGGGAGAATCCCATACAAAGAAAGATCCAATGTATAAAGCAGGTAAGATAGGATAAAAGCAAGAGGAAGGATGCATGCAGATGTGCTATCAAGGCCAGACCAATTGTTTGCTTTTAAGCAAAGGCATACAATCTTCACTGGACAAACAGCTGTCTCCCATCCTTTAAGCAAAAGGCAGGGTAGGGATGCAGGCATACTAGCTAAATCCTTTTATCTTGTCAATGAAGCCTCTTCTGGTGTGACAAGACACCTTGCCAAGCAAGTACTGTATCAAATTCACTGAGATTCCTCAGTAAGATCTTCATTACTTGAGCAATCTGGCTGTGCAAAACTAATGTCTTTTACCTTTGACAAGCATTCAGGTATCAGGTAAACAACAGATCAGTGGCTCATACTTAAAAGATGAACCAGGAACCATCAGTATATTGTGCAAGTTGTTAACTCTATTCAGACATTAGCTACACCAAAGCATTATTTCACAAATGTTTACTTTTCGCACAAAAGAAATCTGTCTCACTTTCTCATCAAACATTTTACACTTTCATGGGGTGAGGAGAATGATTTTTGAATAATCATCCTCATCTGTGAGAGCAAGAGAAGTGAGCATTTATATTCCTAGCACAGAGACTTTCTTCAGCTATTAGAGGTTAGCTGTCTAGCTTAACAAGAGTCACAGCAGATGTTGAAAAGCTGTACAGTAGGATCCCCGTATCCACGGGATCGGTATCTGCCACTTCACTTACCTGCAGTTTGCCAGCCCTATATACAAGATGCAAGGGCACCCCCTTATGGCTTTTGTCCCTCATCCTTACATGTTATATATAGGGGTGGCTACACTCCACAGTCTGAGACATTCACAGTATACTGTAGAACCAATTTCCCACAGATATAGGGGTCCTACTGTATAGCCACCACTTTTCATCTCCCTGACCTAATCCAGAATATGTTTGATGTGTTGTCATCATATTCAGTCTTTACCTGACCTGTCTTTCCACAAGTGGCTGCCTATGAAATGGAGCAGAACAGGATTACCCACCTTCAAAATAATTTTATTTACTGTATGTTTAGGTTTTTTATTTGCTTTTGTTGTCACTAGGACTGAGTCAAAGTCTTTTGTTTACCCCACAATCAGAATAGATTATTTGATTCTCTTATATTATAAACGGTGAGGCAAAATTCCTTTTGGGGGAATTAAATCACAGCATAATTCAAATATAGGGAGAGTTTTCACACTTATGGAGCCCAGCTCACATCAGTGAGTAGAACTGAGGCTGCAGGCCATTTAAATGTATAAGTGTAACAACAAACTATGTATCCTGTAAAGTCAAATTTCAGGCCTGGATTTCATTTTGAGCCCCCTAGGAATAGGTAAGACACATTACTTGCTTTTGATTTAGAGTATTTGGTTGCCAGCCCCGCTATTTTACCAAAATCTGGCCTGAATATCCATTAAGTTACTTCCAGAAAAAGGGAAGTATGAGTACAATTATGTCTCACATCTTTGTTGTATTTGATATTACTTAGGAAACAATGAAAAGGTGCTACTAGCACCATTGATCATGTCTTCTGATAAAATTCTCTTTGTAACACAGTAGAAGTACAGATGTCTACAGAGGAGAATAGCTACAAGTTTCCCACAGTCTGCCCCTTTCTCATTAACTAGCACTTAAAGTCTGAGTAACTTACTCTAAGACAGGCTTGTCCAACCTGCGGCCCAAGGGCCGCATGTGGCCCAGGTCAGCTCGTAATGCGGCCCAGTGCAATTTTTTATTTTAAAAGAAATTCCAAAGTTTCAAGTTACACTGCCGGTGCTTGCGGCCGGAATGTGGCCGGGGCATATCACAACAGTAGAGGGGGAGAGAGGGAAGGAAGGAGTGGGAGGGGAGGGGATAGGGGGAGTGCGTGACTGCATTGCGCTGCCCCTGTCAATGGGTGGACCTCTTCCCGCCCCCATAAAGCCGCCCGAATTGAAGCTGGCAGCCTCTGCTGTCTGAGATCGCAGCTGCCAGTAAGCGCGCTTGGAGCGGGGCTGCGGAGGTCGGCTAGGGCTGCCCCCCCCCATGCGGTCCAAACCAAATTTTCATCTTCTAATGTGGCCCAGGGAAGGTGAAAGGTTGGACACCCCTGCTCTAAGACATTTGTAGAAGAGAGAATAAAAACATTTCTTTATTTGCAGTTATTTGAAGTTGCAGATTTATGTATGTTCTTTCTTTTTAACTACAAACATATTAAGCAACCAACTGAACAGCAAACAACTGCCACCAATGAAAAAGAGGGAATGAGCACTCATCAGAGAAGCAAGGATCTTTGAATTCCAAGCCAAGTCTGGAAGGAGTGATTGATTAGCACTGTATAGACAGACAATCACCCCAGCCCAGAAGAGTCCCTCCCAATCAAACAAACCACAGACAGTATGCAAGGTTGCAAACAAAACTCTAACAGAACTTCCACAATAGAGATTTATGCAAGTTGTAGTTCAAAAAAAGTTTTTTAAAAATCTATTCCTATTATCTGGTTCCAAAACACCACATTCTATGGATCTCCATATTTTGATACCTGACATATTATTTTTTTTACAGAAAAACCCTGTGGACATCCTGGAGATATCCAATTTGGCTCTTTTGAACTTGTTGAAGGAGATGGGTTCTACTTTGGTGCTCGTGTTGTTTATCGATGTGATGAAGGGTAAATCTTTTTTCTTCTTTTTTCTTCTATTTATTGTTTATAATATACAGCTAGTATAGGAAAAAAACACCTCTGGATTAAAAAAAGAAAAAGAATTTCCTACTCTTTGCTCCAGGCTGCCTGTCTCCTTTGCTTCTTCTCAATCAGCAACCAGATAATGCCAATTCTGGATACTTCAGGCTGTGGCCAAAATAGGAGAACTTTGCTGTGACCTAGCCCACGAACAGGCTAGGTTCCTGTCATCTACCCATTATACATTATATACCTATAATGTATAATGAGCTTTCCTATCAAACATATGAAAGAAAAGCACTAAGCCAGGAGTGGGAGAGGTGAAGGACATGGAACACTTACAATCCATCACATTTGTCTTGGCCATGCTGAGGGATGAGTTTAAAAAAATCTCAGCTTTATCAGAATTCCATCACCTGAAGGATCTAGAACTGTTTACATAGACCTGTTATACCAAGTAGGATGAACAGATCCACTGGGGCATCCAGGGAGGTTTTTAGAGATCTGAATTGATTGTCTTTTAATGAATGAATTTAAATTTGGCTTCTCCTTGTTCAGTTATAAAGCTTATTTTGCATTTGCATAGTCCAATGAAATGAACTGGATCCAGGGGTGGAGTTTTACAGACATGGCAGATGGACAGTAATTCTTTTCTATCCTATGCCTTCATTAAAAATATAGAATAAAAGCAGCACCCAGATAAGAAAAAAAAGAGAGCTCTCTTGTGAGTACTGAAGAGGGAACTACCTCTGGGGACTTTACCAAAAGAATGAGATAAGAAAAGTCTGGCTGTGACTATAAATCATTAGCCAACTGACCACCGATTGCTTGGTTGCAGGAGTGAAGAAAGGCTGAAAGATTAACAGCTCTAATAAAATAATAAATCATTGTAAAGGGAGAGAGCAGGGCATTCTCATGAACACTGTTTGGCGTAAATAGAGAGTTATAAATAGAAAATAAGAGAGAATGGATCCCTCCCTCCCACAGTAAGGCGTACAGAGTTGTTAAAATAAAATAAAATAAAAAGTTGTGAAAAGATTGTGAAAAGTGGTTAAAAAATTGAAGTACTTAAAGGACAAAGAAATAGCAGAGAATTTGTAATATGTGACTGGATTTTGCCTGAAAAGTATTCTGGCTATTCAGAGATCTACAGAAGGTGAAGCAAAAGGGAAGGAACAGTGGAACTGAGAATAACATCCGCTGTCTCTGGATGATAGAGGGGAGCAGTAGAATTGAGAGAAGCCCTCCTTCTGCTGGATCTAAAGAAAATGACAGCCTCTGAAGACAGCAACTGAAAAACTACAGAAATTAAATTAAAGACACTTAAAGGAACTATTTTTTTCAGAGCATAAATAAAAAGACATTGGGAAATACAGACAGGATTTGCAAGTTTAATTGATGCCGAGAATGAAAAGCAAAAGTTTAGAGATTGTGTGGCAGAGAAACAAACCATCTGATCGTAGATTGCAGAGAATTCAAGAAGTCCAGGAAATGGATGTAAGATGGGAATCTCCCGAGAAAGAAGCATCTACTGAAAGAGACAATTTTTAATCAAATTTTGGCAGAACTGAAGGAACTGAAAACAGGATTGTCAAGTATGCCAAATGAAATACAGTAAGTGCAATCAAGACACTGCTGGAGGAAAATTCAAAAGGTATCAATTAAAATGAATGACAGACTAGATTCATCAATGGAAAAAAAATTCTAAGCAGCTTGAAGAGGTCTCAGGTATCTAATCTATTTCTTTCCATCTTCCATTATATTAATACTGTTGTTTTATATTGTTTTTATTTTATTGAATGTTGTTATGCACTCAGAGTAGACTTCAGCCTAGATGGGCGAGGTATCAAATAAATAAATAAACAAATAAACAAATAAATAAATAAATCGAATCTAAAGTGGTAATGAACTCTTCAAACATTCATAATCAAAATAAGGCCATAAAAGACTTGAAGAAAGAATTGATTAAATGAGACTGTCAACAAAGGAATATTATTCACATTAGGGGTGTGACTGAAAACCCAAGTGAGGACACAGATCAACTGCTGAATGATATTTTACAATGAGTGAAATCAACAGTCCCAGAGGTTTATTTCAAAAAAGCAGATATCGACAGGCATATAGAAAGGGCAAAAAGAAAGGAGGAAAAATCTGCTCATAGAGACATTGTGGTGAGATTTTGGTCTTACTTTAAAAAAGAACAATTGATGAAGAAATTGAGAGAGACAATGGAGATGAAATTAAAGGGGGACATGCTTCAAGTTTATCTGGACATGGTCTGACACAAGCCAATGGAGACAGAGTTTATGCCAAATCTGTTTAATTTTGAACAGAAACAATGCCAGATACAGTTGGGGATACCCTGTTTTAATGAAAATTCTGTATCATAGAGTGAACTCATCTGAAGAAGCTTTGGAGAAAATAAGGGATGTCAGAATTATAGTCATGAAGGATGTCAGTCACTCAGAATGGTCGTATGACCAGATGGGTGGGATATAATGTCATGAGGGATGTCAGCCGCTCAGAGTGGTCGTATGACCAGATGGGTGGGATATAAATCTAATTAATTAATTAATTAAAAGCTGTATCGAAAAGAGATTCAAAAACTAGAAATAAATCAAGATAATGGATCCAGTTCAAAGGCACAGGAACAGCAGATATGAAGAAGAAGGAAAGTCAAATTTGTAATGGGTGGTCCAAATACACTGAAAGAATGGTTTTGAGATGGAAGGGGGAAAAGACAGAGGATAACAGAAGGGTGTAATACAGTCTTATGTATTATGAACTTAAATGTCAAATACAGTGGTGCCCCACAAGACGATTGCTTCGCAGCTCGAAAAACTCGCTGAACAATTGGGTCTGGGTAGGGTTTTGGTGGAGGGACGTGGTGGCGCTGCGGGCTACACTGAAAGAATGGTTTTGAGATGGAAGGGGGAAAAGACAGAGGATAACAGAAGGGTGTAATACAGTCTTATGTATTATGAACTTAAATGTCAAATACAGTGGTGCCCCACAAGACGATTGCTTCGCAGCTCGAAAAACTCGCTGAACAATTGGGTCTGGGTAGGGTTTTGGTGGAGGGACGTGGTGGCGCTGCGGGCTAAACCACAGACAGCTCGAAAAACTTGCTGGACAATTGGGTCCGGGTAGGGTTTTGGTGGAGGGATGTGGTGGCGCTGCGGGCTAAACTACAGAAGCCTGTGCTGCAGAGTCAGAAGACCAAGCAGTTGTAAGATCGAATCCACATGACAGAGTGAGTGCCCGTCACTTGTGCCAGCTCCCGCCAACCTAGCGGTTCTAAAGCATGCAAGTGCAAGTAGATTAATAGGGACCACCTCGGTGGGAAGGTAACAGCGTTCTGTGTCTAAGTCGCACTGGCCATGTGACCACGGAAGATTGTCTTCGGACAAAACGCTGGCTCTGTGGCTTGGAAACAGGGATGAGCACCACCCCCTAGAGTCGAACACGACTGGACAAAAATTGTCAAGGGGAACATTTACCTTTACCTAGGGTTTTGGTGCTTCACAAGACGATGTTTCATATGGCCCTGTTTTGCAAGACGAAGCCCCCGGGAGGCTTCTGAAAGTGGTGCTTTGCTGGGGGGTGGGGGGTGTGTGCTCTTCTCCGCTCCTGCCCCCTCCCTGCCTCACAGCTGATCGGTGCAGGGTGTCAGAGGCTTCTCCGGGCTTTCCCAGCAGGTAAACAGGCAGTGGAAATGCACCAGGGAAGTGTCTGAAGTGGCGCTGTGCCAAGGTGGGATGGGTGTGTGTGTGTCAGGCCTGCCCCCCCACCCACCCCCACCCTGGCAAAGCATCGCTTTCAAAAGACTCCCGGGGCTTGTTCAGCAATGGAAAAGCACCCAGGAGGCTTCTGAAAGCTGCACTTTGCCTGCGGGGGTGTGTGGGGGGGGTGGCAGGCCTGCTCCAGAGGTAAGAGCGGAGCCTTTGAAGTCGTAGTTTTAAGGTGGGTTTTGTAAGCTTTTTACACACGGGACAGGGGTGTGTTTGATGTTGTTCCCCGAGACAAAAAAGGCAATGGTCATGTCCATCGGTAAGCGGGATCGCATTCATGCAGAGCACACACCACTTGAAGGGCCCAGGAAGGGCCATAAAAGGTTGAGGAAAGAGAATGGATAAAGGTGGTGGTGGTGGAAATACTGCAGGAAGACTGAAAAACGAGTAAACTGAAAGGGGAAAACAGGTAACTCACAGGGGGAGAACGTCCAAAGAAAGATGATTGAAAAATAAAGGACCTTAATGATCAATAATCTCAACAATAGTACGATTGCTCTAACGTTCTGAAATAGGTCCAATCTAAGCAGCAGCAAAAAGGAACTGAGGGGACTTCTAGCGGGTGGAGTATGCGCTCCATGGGGGAAACATCCTACTAATCACGTCTTTAAGCTCTAGAAACCTCCAAGAGGTCCTGCACAGGTGCAGAACAACCCAATTGTGTGCATTCACAGAGGCCACAAAGAAGAATAGAATAATGGAGTTGGAAGAGGCCTATAAGGCTACTGAGTCCAACCCTCTGCTTGATGCAGGAATCCAAATCAAAGTATACCTGAGAAATGGTTTCTTGAACATTGCTAATGTTGATGCATTCACCACCTTCTGAAGTAACTGGCTCCATTGTTGTACTGCTCTAACAGTTGGGAAGTTTTCCTGATATTCAACCAAACTCTGGTTTCCTGTATTGTCAGCCCATGGTTATGTGTCTTGCCCCCTGGAATGACTGAGAACCATCCTGACTCTCCTCTTCATGACAATCTTTCACTTATCATGTCTCCCCTCAGTCTTATTTTCTCAAGGCTAAACATGCCCAGTTCTTTCAGTCTTTCCTCAAAGATTTGGTTTCCTGATTATCCTTGTTGCCTTCCTCTGAACCTTCTCCAGTTTGTTGACATACTTCTTTAAGTACAGTGTCTAGAACTGAACATAACACTCAAGATGAAGCATAACTAATGCGAAACAGAGGGGCAACTAGTACTTCACAGGATTTAGAGCCTATACTTCTGTTAATGCAGCCTAAAACAGCACTGGCCCTTTTTGCGGCTGCACTGTACTTTTGATGCACATTCAGCTTGTAATCTATAAGAATTCCAAGATCCTTCCCACATGTAGTATTGCTGAACCAAGTATCTTGCATATTGTAACAGTGCATTTGATTGTGTTTTCCTAGGTGCAGGACTTTGCATGTGTCCCTGTTAAAGTTCTTTCTGTTGTTTTCAGCCTAGTGCTTGACCCCATCAAGATGTTTTTGAATTTTGCTTCTGTCTCCCAGAGTGTTAGCTATTCCGTTCTATTTTGTGTCATCCATTAATCTGATAATTTATGGTAATATTTATAATAAGCATTCCCTGCACCTCCTCATCCAAGTCATTAATAAAAATATTGAAGAGGACTGGTTAAAGGATAGAGCATAGGTTCCCAAAGTGGTCTATCTGGACTCCCAGGGGTAAATTTTGACTTACAGGGGGTCCACGTCAGAGAGATCAAAAATTGGGGGTGCACGAGATGTAAACGGGGGTCTACATGAGCAGATCCCACTAGGCACATCATAATAAATATTTAGGCGATCCGTAATTACACCAAACACAGATTCTCTGTACATAATATTTCATAATATTATTTAATTAGGTACTATGTACTATCTGTATTGTGGTGTGCTACATTCATGTGTAAGTTCGTAAAATTATTGGTAAAATTTTAGGGTAAATGTTGGTGTGTTGTAAATGGGATTGACAACATTTTGTCATTTCTCATTACTGAGCTATACGGACACACACATTGGGCATGTACGTACTTGTTTAGACCCTGAAAGACCCATCACAGCATAGAAACGTAATCCCACCACCCAGCCCAAGACCATGCTGCAAAACCCACCCAGAAGAGTTTTTTAAAAGTAGAAAGTAGCACCTTACCAGGCAGTCTGAAGCCTCCTTTGATCACACACACTCTAACTGCTAGGGCAAAAGAGCTACAAAGAAGCAGCCTCTTCGCTACCAACGGCTAGCAATTTAAATTACCCTCCTTTTTTCCCTGCCTTTTTCTGGTTGTAATTTGAAGCTCCGGCTACAAGTAGAAGCAAAATTTTGCGGTCAGAGCTGGTTGTAACTCGAAATGGTCGTATGTACTAAAATATTTATGAAATGTGAGAGGGTGTACTCACTGCTGTGATATACTGTATATCATAGGCAAAATATTTATTTCCTATAAATTATTCTTGAAGTCAAAATATGCTCCAAATTCTTGGATAGCCAGCTCTTTTCATGTAATTGGAAATTTAGCATGTTTCATTTGAAACAAAATCTTCCAGATATCAGATGCTCAGCCGTACGGATTTCCGTGTATGCCGGGCTGATGGATGGAGCAATGATGTCCCTCACTGTGAAAGTAAGTGGGCTTTTGCAAATAATGTCTTAAATTCAAATTAATGTAACATTTCTTAAGCTTATGCAAAAGAGCATATATAGCTCCTTTGTTCCAGCTGCATCTGTGTTCCCTGTGGCCTTGAAAGTTGTGGATTGTATAGTGTAGCTTTTCAATGTGTTGCAACTGTGAGGGCAATTAGCAATGCCTTGTGCATGAATATACAGATTGAATCTATTCCTATTTTAGATCTCTTTACCATGCTCCATTGGCTGAAAGATAGCAACACAGCTTAAATTTGTAAACTTAATAATTGCTTAAATGACAAATGAATTGTGAATTGTGCTTTTGAAATGAAGGCCCAAAGATCAAGAAATTAGAGGAAGATAAATTACATCTAAATGAAAAATAATACTTGAGCAACGGTGCAGAAATGGCTTGTACCTAAGCATGGACTGAGAGTGTATCTAAGCCTTTCCCTTTGCTGTGATATGCTTACAGCAAGAAACACTGGTCCCTCCTGCACACACATCCCAGAGGATCTTATATGAGGATATCCCTAGAGAAATTAATGAAAGATTTTTCCTCCTCCTTCCTTCCCCATTGGTCTTAGGAAGGGACCTCCCCCTTTCATTTTTGTGCTATTGTAGCACCAATATAGGAAATGGAAGGCAAAACTGATATTATTGATAGTTGTATCGAAGACCATGTTCTAATCGGTTTTGAAATTTCCTCTTATGCACAAATATGAAAAATAGAGGAGTCCTGACCTCCATTTCATATGGTCATGCCATTTGCATTGCCTATATAGATCCGGCATGTATGCCATGAGCCTGTCATTCGGAAGCATACAGCCTATGGGCGCATGCCTGGTAATATGATCATTCTGTAACAATGGAGAAATCAATGGAGTAGATAACAGGGAGAGAGGTATTTTTTGTTGTTCACTGTGTTTTAAATTGTGTTTTAAATTCATTAGAGAAATCTAAATTAGTGCATTTGCCAAAAACAGTCATAAAACTGAAAACCACAGTAAATTACAAACTATAACCAGAATCCTATTGATGTATGTATGTATGTATGTACAAGGTTTACATTTAATGCCACTATTAAATGTGGTGCTTTGATGACATGTGAAGGTGTGTGTCAATCATGTGACTGGTAATAGTATTTGATTACTTCAAATTTGGGAATGATGTGAATCCAATCCAAATTTAGCCTGCACTTTAAAGTGCTGGGGCCCCTCCCCAAAATAGGTACAGCGCCTTGTATAACTTTTGTAAAGTGTAAATGAGAAATGTGATTTAAAAATAAAATACTGTCAATTTTCTCTGCTTATAAAATGCATGAATTTGAAGTATTTTTATTGACCACATGATGCAAAGGCTGAATCGAATTGGTCCAGTCCTTTTTGCTCCAAAAGCAGCTCCCTCCCCCAACTGCTTGCAGAGAGGGGGAGGCTTCTATTTTTTTTAAAGCTAACAGGATTCAAATGGGCTTTTTTCTGTGCATAGGTTTTCATAAGTTTTTGTAAAGATGGGAAATATCTGTAGGTGGTGATCTGGTCATGTAGGCCACTGGTTCTTAACCTTGGGTTACTCAGGAGTTTTGGACTGCAACTCCCAGAAGCCTTCACCACCAACTGTGCTGGCAGGGGTTTCTGGGAGTTGCAGTTCAAAAACATCCGAGTAACAAAGGTTAAGAACCACTGATGTAAGCAATTGGTGTGATTTTCGAGGGGGAAGACATGAAAAAGCAAAGCACTGCGATTATGGTATGCTGTCAAACTACTACATTTCTAAAAAAAAACATTTGTATAGAAAAACAACATGGAAAACTTTCACAGTCTTGGAATACAGAACATCAAAAGTCTGAACAGTAGCTTTGCAAAATACATTATGATTCACAACGCAGAATGATTCCATATGAGATCACCATTATCCATCAGCCATCCACTATTCCCTTTCCTTACTTTCAAGCATGGCATGCAAGAATTGCCTCCTCTACGATTCTAGACTTATTTAAAAACTATGTGACAAGAGATGAAGCAATTCCTGCATGCTTTATTTAAAAGTAAAGTAAAATACTAAGAGATGAGAACAGGAAGGTGGTGGTGAACCCTGTTATTGAATCATTCTGATCTGGGAATTGTGAATTACTGTTCAGACTTTTAATGCACTGTACTATTAGAATGTTATGTTCCTTTCCATATATATATATATGCAACTCAATATGCAACCCGTGCACTTATTGTAATTTCAGATGTAATATGGTCTGTGAATCAAATGATAGCAAAGCCAATGTAGCCACTCCCTTTAAAAAACACCCTGGAATGGAGTCAAAGCACCTCTAAAATTGGATTCCAGTGGACTGGTCCTACATGCAATTGGACATCTGAAAAGCACTGCAGTATCTTATGAATTAGTCAAAATTAACTGATAAGTTTTGAAAAATGTTACATGAACATGAATAGGATTCTGGTCCATATCTATGAAAATAGATGGGCACGATCCAAAGTTTATGACACCAGCCTACATCCACTGTCACTGAACTTTTTACCTTTTACTCCCCAAAAAATATATATACGCCGACATTACCTCCTTGATTCGAAAGGAAGGAAATCATACATTATTTGAATTAAAAATATTATTGAATCTACACAGCTGTGTACCGAACTAGCAGGATGTGCACTATTTTTGCTGGAACACATTGCACACCAGCCATGGGGTGGTATAGGAAGTAGTAAAGTGTTCAACGTGCCTAGCAGGTTGCATTAAATTTTTGCTAGCTTGCAGAGGATTTAAT